CGGAGGTATAATTTGTCGTATCTTCCACACATGCTACATTACGACATTCAAGCATGCCGCTCAACATGTTATCTTTCATATCTACTCACAGTACGTTAAGCACATGCATATTTACGCTGATGGGGAGACGGACCCAGTGTTCACGAGTTTGAATGACTTGCAGATTAAATTAATCAGGACGGTCGAACAGAACATACAGGTCAAAATCTGGTGACAAAACATTTCTTGCACTTCGCTTGTAAGCAGGAGATACGCTTTCACAAAGAGTGCAACTGACTTTGTTGCTAAGTATACCAACGTCCAAAAGAAACTTGCAGCCGATTTGAAACTCTATAGCGAAAAAAACTACAAAACATAAATGACCATAATATACCGTATTATTTTTGCTGAATCTTATTCTCTCGTAACTGCCATGAGGAAAACCACCTTTTGATTTAAGTGATAACGCTCACAAACATTTTTTGATGAAAATACCCTTTCCATATTACCAACAAACATTTGCCAGGATATCTACAGGAATAAAAGTCATGTGCACTCAAACATACCAAGGAAAAATTATTATGAAAATGGATAGTAAAGAACATATTAAAATACTGTCCAGAAACTGCAGAGGCTTGAATAACTCTTTCAAGAGAGAACAGGTATTTAGGTTCCTCAGGAAAAGAAACGCAAATATCTTTTACCTGCAAGATGTACATTTTACTAAAGATAAAGAACAACTCATAAGGCGTCAATGGGGTTATAATTAAAATTACATAAGTCCTATAAAAGTGTAAGAATGGGCAATATAGAACATATTTTAGAGCAATTTGCAGATGGCACTACCTTAACCCTGAATGGATCAGAAAAGGAATTACAAGCAGTTTTCAACATTTTAATTTTTTCAGGACTCAAAGTGAATACTGAAAAGGCGAAATTAATTTGGATTTGCTCCAAAAAAAGATCTCGGATAAAACTGTGCAAGCATATGAATTTAGACTGGAATCACACAAAATTTAAACTTCTGGGTATTGATTTTGATATAGACCTAGAAAATATGCAAGACCTGAATTATTAAAATAAACTCACTTCAACTGAAAAGGAAATGAGAATGTGGTCAATTAGAAATTTAACTCCTATGCGGAGGAATGTCATTCTAAAATCTCTACTACTTCCCAAACTAAATCACCTGTCTTACCACATACTATTTCGGCTCACAAATTGAACTGGATAAAGAAAATCTTGCAAAATCCGCAAAAATATAAATACATTAATTTAATAAATTTTATTAAAAGATTTTCCATCCATTGAAAGCATTTTGTTGGCAGACCCTGTCTTTATAAAGAGAAATGTTTTACCATATGTCTCAAATATATTCTGGGGGGGATGTACTCCAAGACTTGGTGGATTATCTCACTAAACATTATGAAAATGTAGAACAAACTTCCGATGTACTTGCTCAATCCATTTGGTGGAATAATAATATAACAATTGATGGAAAACCAGTATTTTATTCAGAGTACTTCGAAAAAGGTATAGTTTATATTAATGATCTAATGAATGAGGACAGACTCTGCAATTTTTGTAGAATTACAAAGTCTGATATGAAAGTGGACTATTTAAGATTCCAGGGCTTGCGTCTGTTGCAACAATAGTATTTACTTTTTGTAACAGATTACGGCTATTTGTAATACGGATCAAACGTTTACGCCCATGTTGTTTCTACCTTACCATTGTATTTTATGCTGCATGTAGACGGCATCTGTAATAATTCTGCAGTGAAATGTTAATGTCCCACAAATTGTACATGATATTTCTTTCAAATGCTTATCGAACAAGCGATCCTGTATTTGTAACATGGAAATGGGAAATAAATGACTTCAATGAAAATAAAATAATATACGGTATTGTAAACATCAATAATGTGCAACAGCCCTGTGCGAACAGTCATAACAATACAATGAACAGTGAAATACATATGGCTGGTAATGTATATGAGGAGTACACAAAACAGTTTATCAGTGCATGTCCAAATGGTCAGCACGGCACAACATGACCATAGGTGGTGATGTGTGTCACCCTAGCATCGTGTGACCTCCATTGACTTGAATGCAGGAAAACACTCTCATACGCACTGAATTCGTCAGTCGCCTGATAACGTCAGGTGGGATGCGTCGCCATTCTTCATGGAAAGTCGCAATGAGTTCATGTTGGGATGTTGGGATGGTGTTGTCGCCATTGAATTTGTCTGTCCGTGATATGCCAAAGGTGCTCTGTGGGCTTACGGTCTGGAGAGTGAGCTGGCCTTGATAACACGTGACACTCACTCTCACTCAACGTGCGCATTTCCTTTATTGCGTTGTCGCATGATTGTAAGTGCAAAAGTATTAAACTGCTTCACAAAAGTTAATTTGGAAACAAAGACACATTGGGTATTCTGTGTAAATTTACCATTACCATTTATATAATACACAAAATATTCTTACGATATGTATAACATCACATTTTGAGCAAAAGTTGCATGCCGCCAGTGACGGTGTATATATTTGTTGCTTCAGAAATAACACTATTGATAACAGTATTGATCTTTCCATGCATCATGCTGAACTTTACTGTGAGATGGTCATTTAACCTAATATTTGGGGATATTAGTCAAATCGTAATGAAATTCCATTGTCGCCAATTCTTTGGTACTTTACGTTATGGTCCAAAAGAAAGAAAAGAACTTCAAAAGAAAAAAGAATACATCAAGTAACCTTAAGAAAGTAATCGCTCATGCTTTTTTGAAGACATTGAATACCAAATCCATTTGTTGTAATAACTTGTAAAACTGTAAATATGTTGGGAAGATACAGTATACAGTATATATAACGGGGTATTTTACATTAAGACGTTATAAGACCTTATACATGACCTGAGCACATCTATGTGATCATCTGGTCAGGAATATGCAACCTTGTTCCCTTTCCTGTCTCCTACAGTCGCATTATAATAATGACTGATGTATTTTACGTTACGTATTCCATATATGGCTATTTAACATCACATAATGTGCATACGTCACTAACAAATTTGATGACGCTATGAAAACAATCATGTTGTGGCGTCATTCATGCTGATTTCAATGTGCGTGCTGCTCATGATCAGAAGCTCTGGTGGGTTAAATCATCGGCATGTAAATACTGAACTTTCAACCTTATATGTTTTGTATATGTGTACAAGTCAAACTGCTAAACGTTTATCAATGCATGTAAGGAAGAGTGTGTGAGTGAGTGAGTGAGTTTAGTTTTACACCTCACTCAGCAATATTCCAGCTATATGGCGGCGGTCTGTAAATAATCGAGTCTACACCAGACAATCCAGTGATCAACAGCATGAGCATCGATCTGCGCGATTGGGAACCGATGACATGTGTCAACTAAGCCAGCGAGCCTGACTACCCGATCCCGTTAGTCGCCTCTTACGACAAGCATGGGTTACTGAAGGTTCATTCTAACCCGGATCTCCTCGGGGTGCATGTAAGGAAGATATTCTTATAACATATATTATATATGTTTGCTAATGCAAAACATACTGAAATTACCACGTTGCTTTAATAACGTTATGGGTACAGTTCAGTGTTCTTGCAACATGAGTCTGTGGTGCCCCCATTTGCAACATTCCTAATAGGGCTGTAACGATGCTTCGAACTATCGATGGATTGCAATTGTTGAGTCTCCGATAGCAATTAATCGATGCATCGATAGTATGTGTACCTATCGATAGTTTAGTAATTGACTTCAGTTGGTAAATATGCAGCGCAAAATACAGGATAATTGGGTGCAGACTTGCAGCTTCATTGAGTTTAATTTCATGTTTTAACTATTTATTTGATCAGGGTTTTAAGTTTCTAGTCAGTTATTAAAAGAGACTGAAACTACTTCAACTTGTTTTGATTCCTATAAACTATATATTCATTTGGAAAATGACTTCAAATGAGACAAGTAAAGAAGAAAATACTATTGCAATAGTATTGCAATAGTTGATCGCAATAGAATATCGCTATCGATATCGCTATCGCAATAGTATGTTGCAATAGGCTATCGCTATCGCAATAGTAGTTGTATCTTTAAATCTCTTTACCTGCGTTGACTGACTTGTACATTCATAACTACTACAGCTTATAATTACAACAATACCTTAATCAGTGCAACTACTACAGCTTTTAAGTACAACAATGCCAAATGTAGTATTTTGACCTTAGGCTGGTTATGGAAAGACTGACTGACTGAGTTTTGGTTTTACGCCGCTTTTAGCAATATTCCAGCAACATCACGGCGGGGGACACCAGAAATGGGCTTCACACATTGTACCCATGTGGGGATTCGAACCCGGGTCTTCGGCGTGACGAGCCAACGCTTTAACCATTAGGCTACCCCACCGCCACCCCCACCCACACACCACACACACACACACCGACATAAATATTAGATACATAACTGGATGTGGTAGACAAACAAACCACTCGAGCCCCGTTGTTTTTATGTTTGTTTGTTATTTAACGCTGATCTCAACAATATTCAACCTATATGACGGTGTCTGTAAATAATCAAGTAACAAATCCAGTGATTGACATCATGAGCATCAAACAACCACCAAGTCAGCTACCCTGACCACCCAGTCCCGTTAGTCGATTCTCTTACGACAAGCATGGGCTGCTCAAGATCAATTTTAACCCGGATCCCCAAAGACCCGGTCATTGATAACCACATGCTATTGAGATACAGCGCCTGACAGGTTTACTTCCGCATATGTGAAGAAATAAAACCACATGTTGTGGCTGCTTAGTCGAGCCGGGACACACTGTTTCTGATCGGATAATGATCTTTTGAGTCCGAGCACAAATTCAGCACAAATTCAGCATTAAGTCGATATCTTGTTTGCGTTGTTCTATGATGTTTATGTTTGGTGTGTTCTGTGTATCAAATAGGCAATATTAGATGTGACGTCTGACTCTTTGACTCTGTATTCACTCAGGCCCACCAACGAGTCCATGACTGATGTTGACACACGTCAAGTTCTGGATGACCTCAAAGCTCTCGACACCAACAAAGATGGCAGCCTCACTTCCGCCGAGATGAACGACCGTACATTTGCAGCCACCTTCGACAGTTCCCTCACACGTAAAATCATTTTAGTATTCATGCAGAGGTTATCAAGAACCACCTTGTTGACCTGGCATCACAACTAATTCTGTCTTATGTTCCTGTCTTGAGCAACTATCGGTTTGGTTGATCTTTGCGCCTAACGTTGGGTTTTAATCGTTGCACCTACATTTGGGATGTTTTTGTCCTGTACAGTTCACTTTGGATGGCTGCACCTCCATTTCGCACGAACTTGTAGTGCACAGTTTACCTTGGAGTCGATTGTTTCAAGTCCATTTGCCATGTTCCCGTCCTGAACAGTTAATGCTTCAGTCGATGGGCTGCAATTACATTTCGAAGGTTTTTGTTCTTGGCAGTTAACGTTGGAGGCGATGGTTGTACCTAAATTTGGGATGTTCTTGTCCTGTATAGTTAAAAGGTCCATGGTTGCAAACACATTTGTCATGTTCTTGTCTTGTACAGAAACCGCTGGGGTTGACCGTTGCACCTACGCAATGCTGGAGAAGAAGCGGTATGACATCAGCAGGGGAGTTGCAGGCCGCGTCTTCGACGTTGTCGACGTGAACAAAGACCTCAAGCTCAGCGCTGCGGACAAAGACGATGCTGCATTCAAGCTGCTCGAGAAGGATGGTAGGATATACGATACCTTGCATAGATTTTGTTGTACAAGATTACACAACCCCAAAACATTAAGCCTCTGCTTTTGGTAGCCATATTGTTTAAAGATCGTTGCCCAATCCTGTCACCTGATGCCTGTCGCCTGATGAGACTCCATGCTCATGATTTTTACCAAACAGCCTCATAAGTTTCAGAATATGGAACATGACAAAACATCGAAAGTTTGTTTCTTTGAGTTTTGAGTTTGACCAACTTGAATGTAGAAAATGCCTAATTTACATAAGTCAGTTGTACTGTCCTTCATTTCTGGCCGTTATTTTGCCAGTTCCATGATTTTAATCACTGGATTGTCTCGTTCTTGCTCGTTTATTTACACGTAGCTGTAATGTTGTGGAGTGTGGCGTTAAAAAACCAAAACAAACACAACGATAAGAATTCACAACATAATGACTAATTTTTATCTGAAGGTAATGGCAAAGTGTCTGTGTGTGAAGCTTTCCAGGGCTTCATGGCGGCGCTGCAAGATGCGGAAGAAAAGGCCTACATGCAAGAGGTATTTATGACGTCGTTTCGGCAATATTTAACCCAGTTAGGAAACTGGGGTATCCCACATTCATTGATCTCTAATACATAGCATAGATTTGTTCCACAAAATGCTTGGCAAAGTGTACTCAAAGCACTCGGAAATCCCCAGTATGGGCGTCGTATTAAATCGAAAACCAGAAAAGTGGTATGGTTGACGTCTGTATAAAGTCCTATCGCATTCTGATACTACATTTCTCCTTCAATGTGTCATAGAGACGCTTATCGCTTATCCATAGACATAACGGCATGAATGGTAGCTATGTATTGTGATTAATTGATGTCGGATTTTAAAAGTTGGAAATATTGAGAAAGAAGGTTATCTGACAAAACCTAAACTAGGAAACCGCTCTCTTTTTCATGGTTTGAAGGTTTGTCTTATCACATGACAGTTGTCACCCTTGGTTATGTGACAAAATAATGTTTGTATCTCCTTCTAATATGTTCTGGCAATGTATGTTGAAAGACTTTCTTCTAAAGATAGCTTAGGTGAACAAACTCTTCAGCCATTGATAATATTTGAGAATAAAACATATGTATATTATATATCTTTTCAAATCGTTATATCGTTGGTTCTGCACACTGTATTCCGTGCACTCGTAGATCTTCTGTATCAGTGTTGTAAGTCAGTTAACGAAAACTAAAATTACTGGATTTTGTAGTACTACAAACCCAACCTTTGCTCTTTTGTCAGGTGAAGTATACGGACATCGCCTACAAGTACAGGAAACGCTCACCCATATTTTTCCCTGGGTCCGACTAAATCACCATGTCTGTCCTGGCAAGACAAGGGGCAACGGTGTCCTGACTGCAAGGACGATAATGCTTTGTTAATAAAGTGGTACATACTGTTTGGATGAGTCGAATATCACGTTGATCAGTCGAATATTTACCGGGTGAACCCACTATCGCCTGGTTTGGTCGAATATCATGAAGGGGTGGGCCGAAAATCACGCGGATGATTCGAATATCTAAATCGGGTGAAACAATCACGTGGATGGTCTTATATAAGCTTCATGTTCATGAAAATCATCTTCCGTCTCAACAATTACCTTCATTCTTCTACTTTGAAATTATTAAATGTTTAAATACTCGACATTTGAACTGTTTGAGAGGCATTCTAGAAGTTGTTAGTAATGGAAATGACAAGTCTTTATGGATGATCAACTTCTTTATTGTACAATAGCGTCGTTTCGGTGTAGATACTTGTACCGTTGTCAAGCATGAGGACAATTGCCTCTTTCTACTTTGCCAGAACGAGTTTTTAGATCATGACGTTATCAGCACAAGCTTCACCCCCCTTTCTCTTCTCCTCTTATCTTCCTTCTTCTTCTCCTCGTCTTCCTTCTCCACCTCATCTTCTCCTTGTATAGAGCAAGTAACCACGGCTATTGTAACGCGGAAGTAAGGAGCACTCCTACAACATGTCTCCAGGGCAATTAAGGTGAAGCGAACACGCCTAAGTAAGAGCCTAGTGTCACTGAAGAAGTCGCTTGAACTGAAGAAAGAATTTCTAGACTTACAATACTTGACTCGCAACAATGAAAAAGAACTATTTGATACCACACAGCACACACGAGGTATTAGTGTACTACTCTTCGCAGGAATTCCTATCAACATTTTTTGCACGTGCTGTATTCAATGCGTGCCATCTGCTGAGTACTATAGAAACACAATTTAAGTTGATAGTGATGACCAGGCTAGCTATTATAGCCCTACGAACTTCTCAAGCCCATTCTGAACACATTGGCTACGTTCAAAGTTAAGAATTCTCAGGGCTACGAACGTTTCGAGAATAAGGGCCCTGGCACACTTCTAAAAAGTTTCGTTGTGTATCATTTATAAGAATAGTAAGTACTTTTACTAAGAGTGCGCTTGCCATTGTTATGACCAGTGGTGTGATGAAGGGTTTAATTATATATTCTCAGTCGCACTTAAAACATCAACTACTATTCCGAACAAAGCCAGATGCATTTTTCTACCCTCTTTCAATATATACTAGGCACATAAAGAAACTGTGCATACAAAAATTTAAAATCTAAATTTAAAAAGGATAAAGGAAAAAAATAAAGGATTTAGACTCAGAGATTAGTGACATGTATCCAACATGCATGCACGTTCCACGTTCCGTGACGTCAGTGGGTTCGTCCTTGAGACGTGCAATACGTTGTTGCACGTTCATTCCGGGAAAGAGAAACAGAGCAAATGAATGCCACACAATACTGTCACTTTGGAAACCTCAACCCCTGCCCTTGCGATCGTTCAAAAACTTAAACGGCTATTGAAACGCATAGCATGCCAAGGCTCACGTCTGCGGCCATTGGGATGGTCCGTGGGGAAATGTCTCAACGACAAGTGGCTGCACATTTCCACTGCCACCGGAATACCATTTCTGCACTGGTGAGACGCTACCAGAACACAAATGACGTCATCGATCGGCCACGTTCTGGACGTCCACGTGTAACAACGCCAAGACAGGACAGATGGATAAGGGTGACCCATCTTCGCCACAGGTTTCAGACTGCAGTGATGACTGCCCGAACCATCCCAGGACTTCGCCGTATCCATCCCAACACAGTTCGACAACGTTTACGTCATCACGGGATCAGACCACGACGTCCCGCCATACGGCCTATCCTGACACAACGTCATCGACAAGCTCGCCGAATGTGGTGCCGAAATCATGTCCGCAGAGCCTTGTTTTGGTGGAGAAATGTTGTTTTTACAGATGAGTCCAGGTTTAACATTTCCCATAGTGATGGACGTCAACGTGCCTATAGACACGTGGGAGAACGTTATGCACAGGCCTGTGTCTTGGAGAGGAATCGCTTTGGTGGTGGTTCCGTGATGATTTGGGGTGCAATAACAGCACGCCAAAGAACTCCTTTGGTGATTGTTCAGGGTAACTTAACTGGTGTGGGCTACAGGGATAAGATTCTTCGAACTGAGGCAATTCCTTTTCTGCACCGTCATGACCCTGGGTTAACATTCCAACAGGACAATGCCCGCCCTCATACGGCAAGGGTTAACTTACTGCCTTGGCCTGCAAATTCACCGGATCTCTCCCCGATAGAGCATGTTTCGGACGAGATGGATCGACGTCTACGCCGTCTTCCTCATCCGCCAGATAACGTCCTTGACCTTGCAACAGAACTTGAGAGAATCTGGCGTGACATCCCACAAGCCTTCCTTGCACGTTTGATAGGCTCTATGCGTCGTCGATTCACTATTTGTTACGAGGGAGGAGTGCAGAGAAAGGGACAGCCAGGTGTTAGAGAAGCACGTGCACAAGTGCCCACCAAGTTATTGATTCATTAGCCTGTGCTGTGCCGTCTCCATCCTTTCTCGCACACCTGGCTGTCCCTTTCTCTGCACTCCTCCCTCGTAACAAATAGTGAACTGTGTCAAAATTTTAATGATAGTTTCTTAAAGAACTTTTTGGTGGAGTCCGGAAAATGTTCAAATATTAGAAAGCTGTTGGGTATTAGTAAATGATAAACATGTGTCCTATTTATATTTATGTGGCAATTTTGTACAATGATAAAATTTGCAATTCATCGGTCCGTTTCTGACTCAAACGGACTGTAGTTGAGCTGTAGAAGAGACGAGAGTGAACTTCAAGGTGTGCTGTTTCATTCTCCAGAAACGTCTTAGAGTGAATTTGACATAATTTCTAATGTTTTGCTATTGATGTTTGTTGGTCGACTTTTAGTCTTTTCTAATAGAAGGCTCTGTTTATATACTGACCGCAAACGAAACGCCACACCGATAGAGGTTTCTTAAAGCACATACTTTAACTCCCTCTAATTAACAATCAAAACGGAGGACTGAGTTCAAACTTCACGATTATGGTTAATACATTTTCGGGAATGACATTCAGAGTTTACAGAGAGTTTACACAAACAAAGTCACGAAAAATGGTAGGATACGCCGGTTGATGAAGGCCATAGGCTCTTGGGTCCATACTCAGCGAAATGCGTGATGACTCCAGCGGCAGATGTCGGCCTTGGTTGGAGGTCATTCAGTCTTTTCTTAATCTCGTCACAATTGTTCTATTGGACTAAATCCGAACTGAGTGCAGGCCATTGTAGGGTTTAGATGCCGTGTTGTCTTAGGAAGTCCAGTGTTGTTCTGGCAGTGTAGGCACGAGCGTTGTCTTGCTGGAAGATGTGATATCTGTGACGTCCAAAATGTGGTACAACGTGGTGTCTTAGAACTTGGTCAATTTTGTAGCAGCTGTCACGCCATTCCTCCTCCTGGATCGATCTTCTGCAACACCATGGAGCTAACTCTCAGGTTACATTTGGGTTTATTCCAGTATTGCTACCGATTGCACCCCACACCATGATACTTGGACCACCCCACGAGTCTCTTTCAACAATACACTCAATTGAAAACCGTTCCCCACGCCTTCGCTATACTCTCACTCTGCCCTTGGCTGTCGAACACTATATCAGCTTTCATCAATAACGCCAATTTCGATGCTGAGTTGTCCATTGCAGTCGGTTTGCGCGGTGACGAGCGGCAAGGACAGGGCCACGATATGGCCTGTGACAGCAGAGGTTCTCTCGGTCTTGACGTTTTGATGTTACAGAAGGATGGCCTGGGATGCTGTTAGTGGCCTGATACCGCTCCTGCAGTCGGTAGATTGTTCTAACATGAACATTAAAATGACTGGCTACCCTCCGTGCAGTCTGGCCAACTTGCAATCATCCCAAGGCTTGGTTCCTCTGATCTCTCGTAAGTCGCGGCAAAGTGATTGTGTCAAAACATATCTACGCTTAAATTGCCAATTATGTAAATAAAATAAAAAATTGCTATGTTGCTGCGAATAGTCGCAAGAAGCTAATTTCAAACATTAATTGTTCTTTCAGGTATTCATAATGTCAAGATCAAAGTGTCTTTCTTTCAGACACTCAAAAAATATCAGTGTCTTTTTTTTCTTTCTTTTTTTAAATTAACAGTAAAGCGACAGTTCTGATGTGCAATCAAAAGATTATGTCTTAGACCATACTGACAAATAACTTTGTTTTGGAAGTCGGAGCTTGTGATTTCATCACATTGACATTTAAATACTTTGCGATTTAAATACTTTTAAATTATTCAAGTTTTTGTTTTCGGAATTGACTTGACATAATGTGTCTTGAAAAATGTATTTTGCTACCAAATCACCAAAATGTTTTAGCGATACTTTCACGTTCAGTATGTATGGATGCGAGCATTGAACATCTGTATACGCCTTCTGGTATGAGTGTTACTCTGGACTCTCTGATTTACCTTTATTAGAGGAATTATAATCAACCATTATCAATGACTATGGCTTTATCCCTGTATGGGGAATAACCCGAAAGTGTAGGTTGCCTTATCGCCCGTCAGTCAATCACCATACAAGTGAGTGAGTGAGTTTAGTTTTACGCCACACTCAGCAATATTCCAGCTATATGGTGGCGTTCTGTAAATAATCGAGTATGGACCAGTGGTCAACAGCATGAGCATCGATCTGCGCAATTGGGAACCGATGACATGTGTCAACCAAGTCAGCGAGCCTGACCATCCAATCCCGTTAGTCGCCTCTTACGACAAGCATGGGGTACTGAGGATCAATATTCTAACCCGGATCTTAACGGGTCCATCACCATACAAAAAGACCTTTAACAAAACAAAAACCAAAAGAGGAGGGAGGTGAAGAAGAGGAACAAGAACAATAACAACAAAACAGCAAAACACCCAAAGATTACAGATGGGAGACTAGGGTACGATGGTAACCATTTACAGCTTCCCCAGTGAGAACAAACACTTGCTATTACCAACAGTTTTAATGCCGTTTTTACATCACAGGTGAACGTAGAATCTGATTCTTCTTATGTACACTTGATGTCCTCTGGCTTCAGTTTGTCCACCTCGTCACACTGGAGTTTGTCAAGGGGGGTCACCCTGTTCTTAGGGTCACCGCAGTAGGTGTTCTTGAAACGCTGTGGACAGGACAGTGAGTGAGTGAAATGGATATCTAGTGTTATTTGAGTAGCATATCGTGTGATATCATGTGTTTGCTTTCATCCCAGTTGGTGAATACTGGAATAACCCAAATGTAATTAAATCTAGAAGTTACACAGGGTCTCGATGCTAAATCAGGGATTCGAATCAACGCCTTAAGGGATAATGCAGAGTTAGTGAATCTTGTTTTACGCCGCTTTAAGAATATTCCTGTCAGACTAGAACTTGGTACACAAACAAATGGCTTCCAACAAATGAAGTGAACGGCAGTGGTAGGTGAACCCTTTGACGTTTAGCCTATGGGCACATGAGAACGTTTTCGATATGGACATTTGTGTTAATCAAATCTTTGACATTATCCCATATAGCGGAAATGCAACTCTAATATTGGAGAAAGGATGTTGACAAGAAGCGTGAGTATAACTCACGGACTAGATTTAATTATTTCCATTATAACTCTTCTTGGATATGTAACTTAACTTGGTTTGTTCGAGATAAATTTGGGATATCGACCTTCGTTCTATCAAGACTTGTATGTTTATTTACTTACCGTGTATTGGACCTTTAAGAAGTAGGCATCGCTAATATCTGAAGAGAAATTAAAATGTGAGAGAATGTTGCTATGCGTTTTAATCTCAGTTATAATTCCATTTAGGCATTTCTTTACAGATTATCATTGTGATAAGCATTTTATGGCTAGTATTCTCCCTTGCATCGGGAAAATGAACCCCTTACGGAAGGATAAACATTTTAAAAATTCATCTTACTGACTGAACCCAAGTCAGCTGCCGTAGCAAGGCCATCCCCGTTGATGTCAAAGAATTGGTACATGTATCTTCCGTACTGTTCGGAGAAGCCGTACCGACACGACCACCTTGTCACGACCTCCCACTTGTTTGTGACACACAAGTCTTCTGCAGATTAAAATATAAAAACAAATTAAAGTTGTTTGGCTCCTCTGATTCTCTTTATCAGCGCCAATAATATCGCCTCCGCCATCATTATTAGCAACATTCTGAAGATTATCAAGTATAAGTATAAAATATGTTATAGCAGTAATACATATATCAAATGTGGATATCACATCTGTGTTTAAGGTATTAACGTGTGGGGGAAGAGGCACTATGTAAAACGCAAGATCTTTTTTAATTGAATTGAAATGCAAAATGGATTTCAACAAATTCACGTCTGAAAACATATGTAAAATAAAGTCTTGTCAAATCCCCCTTTATGGTGTCATTATGTTTTTAAATGTTCATCTTAGATGGTTAGAACTTTAAGAAATTGTAACTGTGAAACTCTCTCGTCTGGTCTGATTATTTTCACTTTCCCTGTACAGCCTGACGAATGCTTAAGGTAAACTATATTTACGATGTGACAATTTTTTAGCCGAATTATATCGTAAACTACAATGAAAATTAACCTTGACTGTCTCAACAAATGGTCAGTAAATCAAGTCTATACTTAAAAGCGGGATGCGTTCACAAGATCTGTACAATTTAAGAAATTATGGCATATCTTTACCAAACACAAAATGTAAACTTGTCGATAAAACGTGTTAAAAGGCTGATTTCAGACGTTTCAAGGAATGTTTTCCTGATTACTTAACATGAGTGAGTGAGTTTAGATTTACGCCCCATCTAGCAACATCAAAGCCTCAAATGCTGTGGTACTTGATCATGTCATACTGACTGACTGAGTTTGGTTTTACGCCGCTTTTAGCAATATTCCAGCAACATCACGGCGGGGGACGCCAGAAATGGGCTTCAAACATTGTACCCATGTGGGGAATCGAACCCGGGTCTTCTGCGTGACGAGCCAACGCTTCAACCACTAGGCTACCCCACCGCCCTGATCATGTCATAAGTCACGTCAAGTCCATGGGCTAAAAGGTTCAGTCTTGGTATTTCTATGCTCATAATTAATAATGAATTGTTAGTGTTTTACACTAGGTTTTTAACAGTGGGGTACCCTTGTGGTAAAAGCGTTCGCTCGTTACGCCGAAGACCTGGATTCGAGTCCCCACATGGGTACAATGTGTGAAGCCCATTTCTGGTGTCCTCCGCCGTGATATTGCTGGAATATTTCTAAAAGCTGTGTAAACCTAATCGAACTCACTACACTAAGTGTTACTTTATGTGCCGTTTTTATTCAAATCAATCCCCCTACCCCCATGCATCTTATTCCTTCCTCGTAAAGGTCTAGGTGGCTAAACTTACCGTCGTAGTTGTAAAGCATGGTATCTGTGGCGATGTCACTGCCGTCCACTATGCCGTTACCGTTGAGGTCATTGTCCAACAAAGCAGCACAGAATTTCCCCACTAGCATTTCAGGAGGGTTGCAGTGGTTAAACAGACTGAAAAGGGACCTTCAAGAAGAGACAGATAGTGAAAATAGGTTTCTGGGGTTCTAATTTCGGGAATTTTTAGCATGAATTAAAATTGTAGTGATTTGTTTTCTTGGTTTGTTGGTTTGTTTAACGCCGCACTCGCACAAGTTCCAGCTGTATTGCGGCTGTCTGTAAATAATCCAGTGATCAACAGCATGAGCACTGATCTATGCAACTGGGATACGATGACATATGTCTACCATGTCAGCGAGCCTGACCACCCGATGTTGGAGACCAATTCTAACCAAGATCTTTACGGGTGAGTAGTAGTAGTAGTAGTAGTAGTAGTAGTAGTAGTAGTAGTAGTAGTAGTAGTATAGTTACAACATATTTAGAATATTTACAAATAAGATTTACGGTCCCGGTGAATGTCTTGACATACCTTGAGAAACCACAGGTCCCACAGAAAAGGAGGATAAACACGGTAAGTCGGAGGGCAGGCATTCTGCAAATGAAAAGCAGACTCAGGTGATGACGGTTGAATTTGCCATCAGTCTTTCGGGTATTACTGCGCATGCGCTAAAAGAAAACTTAGTGGTTGTTGACACGAACTTCAGTCAAATCAGTACACACTTCATCTATCAGGAAGCATATTCAGCGGACAGTGAGAATGGCAAATTTATATGCACTATGACTGAAAAGGAAAAGAGTCATTAATCAGCACTGATGAATAAAGGCCAAGTAAAATATTTTAGTAAAATTCGGAAAAGTACGAACCTGTCTGAATGTGCTGGATAACGACTCGAGATGTGGCCAGATCTGTCTCCGACTGTTCAGTATGTGCTATAGCTCCGCCCCATGGGTAGGCGGACGCAAGGAGCTTTGGCAGGTGAGGGTGCCGACGAGGGGTATCCATGCTTTGTAAACTGAATCTTATAATCGTCTTCGTTTGTGGATACTGCAAGTGAATGGTACAAGTAACACTGTTTTTAATCTTTTGTAATGTTTTGTGTGATTTGAAATGAAACTTTCAAGATACTCAAAATAATTTATCACGTAGGGTGCGTGCAAGTGTGTGTGTGTGTGTGTGTGTGTGTGTGTGTATATGTGTGTGATCGTACTCCAGTCGTTGCTCACAACATTTATCCCTGTGTGATCTAACGAAACACCCGCTGTACATTAAACCACAATACAAAAAACATGAAAAGGCTCTTGTCCAGTGAATATTTGTGGAATGGATGAATTGCAGATGTAGAATATTTACTCCTTGACAACACGTCATAAAACAGAACTTGACGCGTTGCGCGTAAACATAGTTTACTTACATGGTAAATTCCTGCTATATATCTGTGTGTAGGAGGCTTTAAGTACATACATAGCCAGAGGAAACGGAATTGGATTTAATGCCGCTGCCATGACAAAAACTGTTAATAGAAAATAAATATCTGAAAAAAGCAACGATAAATGTATTTTTTACTGTTTCTATAGATGCATTGATTGTTCATAATGTAATGCCCCCTGAATACTTACAAGCTATTACAAGACCGCCTCCGTGGTGTAGTGGTTAGAGCGTCCGCCCGGAGTGCGGAAGGTCGCGGGTTCGATCCCCAATCGCGTCATACCAAAAGACGTTAAAATATGGTACTTGTTGGTCCCTGCCTGGCGCTCGGCATTAATGGGTACAACAAGGACTGGTGGGCTCGGAGTCAGTATAATGTGTCTGAGTGGGGTATTCATGCTTCACTGCGGCATGGTATCTCAGTGGGCTAGCACTATAAAACCAGCTTCAGTCTGGGCTAGTACAAGCAGCTGCACATACACATACACACGCATGCACGTCGTCATATGTGCGAAATATTCCCAAGTACGACGTTAACCCCAATTCCACCACAACCACCACAAGTTATTACAACAGGGTTCAAATCCAAGGTTTGTATCGATGATAATGCTAGGCAGGACCTGATCTAATTCAGGCTATTTTTAATATCAAGCTGACACTCCATTAAATTAGATTCAAAGCAGTTGAACCAAATTAACACGCATTGAATAGAACATGTTAAATGCGCGTAGAATGTATTAATGACATGCACTTCTTCTTATAATATCATGTCACCTCCATTATACAGAAATGTTACTAAATAGGACGCTGAGCCACAAAACATCATTACTACAGACGGTACATATAACGAATGTAAGCACTTAGTTTAGCTGTACAAGTATTGGCTGACTACTACGGCATTGAATATTGAAAATACGTACAGATGCGCGGTCGGTCTGTCTAGAGCCCCCCTTTGAGTGACAGGCTGAGTTTGCTGACTCGTCAAGCAATTGCAATTGGGTACATGCTCCAAGCAACGAAACCACCCTGCGAAGTTGTGTAGTTGAGCAGTGGAGGACTCGGTGGTGACCCTCTAGGGAGTCTTAATGTAGAAGGAGCACATTTCGCGTAAACGCCTTATTGAATGTTATTTATAATAAAATAGTCATTAGTGTTAGTTATACATAATGTCTTCAATCAATCACGTTTATTTCTAAACAATGCCTTAGACACACATAGAATACAAAATAAACAAGTGCAATTATAAGATACTGGCAATTGACAGTCAGATTGACATGTATAAAGAACGCAATGACAATGCTTCCTTAGTGTAAGTACAACAATTTGTATCTGTTGAAATATTGGTATACGATAATGTGTTCAGAAAGTTTTGCTGATCTATCAGTATTCGTATCTACCGGTATTTTTATATATTGGAAGTGTACCGATTCGTAACATTGTTATTCTACGCCTCGCATCTTTAGATTTCAATAAAGTCAAATATGGTTTAATGCAAAATACGCTTTTGATACTGGAATAAACATCAAGCAATGACTGACTGACTGAGTTTAGTTTTACGCCGCTTTTAGCAATATTCCATCAATATCACGGCGGGGGACACCAGAAATGAGCTTAACACATTGTGCCCATGTGGGGAATCGAACCCGGGCCTTCGGCGTGACGAGCCAACGCTTTAACCACTAGGATACCCCACCGCCCCATCAAGCAATGAACATTTGTGCATTTCTGAAAATATGAATTGCTTTTGACAATCACCAACTCTTACATGAAAATCTTTTTAAAAATGTTCCTCGTTACCAACTCGTTGAGCTTCCCACACAAAACCACATCCGTAATTGAACAAAGTATTTCGGACAAAATATACCCACGTTTTCCTACCAACTATGTAGAATGTGCAACATAATATAGCACTGCTTTGGATTTCTATCCTTTGGTAAGTGTAGAGGTTTGATCCAGTACTTCATAACGAGTAATAAACTATCAACATAAATATAATTTCTACCATATTCCGCCAAAACAGTCGCGTTAGAGCATTTAAAAACTTACACCCAACACATACATGTGCCTACAAAACCTAATGTGAAACTGATCAATAACATGCCAATTCTGAAAACCCCATATTTCCGAAGCATACACAATTTTCGGCTGTATCTGAACGTCAAAGATTTTGAACATAATTATTGGAGAAATATTTTTAAATCTCCTACCAAAATCCTTAACTGAGGACAAGGCGTTATTCGCTTCATTTACCAGATTTTGAACCGATTTAGATCATGAAAGTCTATTTGAAACAATAAACCCAAATAATTCTAATATGTAGAAACGTTTAATTTATGATCGCCAATGTACCATGATTCATAGCGCCTGAATTTACAACAATTTCTAAAGACCAACACCTCTGTTTTCTCAAAATTGACAGACAACCCCCATTTTTGACAAAACTTTAATAATACATTGATCTTCCTCTGAATACTAATTGCAGATTTGCCCACACACATAAATCATCTGCATGCAGTAGCAAATACAATTCCATAAACCATGGATCAATAAATACGCCCCAGTCTCCACAAGTAATTATTTCCGTATACAACTGATCAACAAACAACGCAAATAAAAGAGCACTTAAAATACTGCCCTACCGAACCCCACTCAAAGAATCAAAATATTCTGAAACGTTTAAATTATTTAACTTAACAGCAGCCTTTGTCTTTGAATACATATCTCTAATGATATTGTACATAGAACCATGGACACTATTAGACGCCTGTTCAAAATGGAAGTAAAATCTTTGTCACAAAAATTCATAAGACCGATACCACGATAAATATTTACTTAATGAATGCTTCCTTTTCTATGCAATGGAAACATAATACTTAGTGACCACTGATCTGGAAATTTACCTGACCTCAAAACGCCATTTAAAAAAGTACATAAGTATGACTGCAAAACAGTTTTATTACCCTTAAACATCTCAGGTGGAATACCATCTGGAACAGGACTTTTATTAGGCCGTTAACTACCAAGAGAAAAACTCAACCTCTTCAATACTTATGTCCATGTTCACAATATTATTTATATCATCATCATTACAGATTTCACAGACGGATTCTTCACATCATGATTTACAATGAAATCCTTTGTAAAGGAAAAAAAAATTCATCAATATGAATATCTTGACTATTTAAAACATCTTTAAGATATTCAACCCATGACAAACAGTCAACCGATGCTACAGATTTACATGAAGCGCTACTAAAATGTCTCACATGAGACCTGAAAGATTGAACCCTTTTACCACTAGAAAAATCTGATAATATACAGTTGGTTATTGATATTGTATATTCCTCCTTCTCGTTACGACAAAGTTCTCTGAATTTGTTTCGTACTTTATTACCACTGAAGGTACAAAAATCCCCAGACAGGCGAAATCTATCAAAAAATTCATATTCATCATGCTTTAAATTTCCCAGTGTTGATCAAACCATTGATGTCTATGATTGTCCTGTGTCCTCACAAGGTTCGAGTTCACTCCACAAGAAAATGCAGTTTTTTTTAATAATGAGAGTCAGCATTTTTGCACCTGGAGCCGGATTATTCATTGTAATCTCATGAAACACGTCAAGAGGCAGCGAGTTTAAGTTTCCTTTAGTTACAATTTGTCTGCATGGAAGGTCTCCACTTATATTTCTTAAACGAGAATACGAGAGAATTGCAATAATTTGCGGGGTGAAAGATAATGTCATCAGAAACATAATGTACCCAAATTTTCAATTTAAAGATATGTGCATTTATGTTTTAATCGCGAAAACAGTTTCTGTTATCTGAGCTTCGGCCATTATGCATATTCCGCTCGAACTCACGTGACCTTTCCGCTCGTGACGTCAAATGTGCCTAGAGTCCGCCATAATGCCAAACACCAATTGCAAGCGCTAGAGTAGTACAACACTTACTTTCAAGACCAGTTGGCATCGGGATGCACTCACCACATCTCACACCTAAGAATTATTTAAGGATTGACTGTGTATTTCTTTCGTTGCATTGAGGTATGAAACTAAAAACCAATGTGCAAACTGTATGAATCCGCGTAGCGGATTCTTACAAAAGTTGCACATTGGTTTTAGTTTCATATCAATGCAACGAAAGAAATCAATCAATCACTATAATAAATTCAACAACAAATACTATAGGCTTTCAACAATATTTTATTTAAACACAATCAAATTCATCGAAACAGATATCTTTGTTACCACCGATTTACGGATTAACATTTTCGGTGTAAGAATTCGGTAATGGCGTGACATGACTCAGGTGAGTCATTTACATAAAATGACACGCCTACCAAACCATTAGCCAATCAGCATAGAGCACCCCAAAACAGCTGTCAATCAACCAAGCTAACATCGGGGTTGCGAATCAGAGCGGAACAACACAACGTGACGCATGCTGGTAACGGCAAAGTTTCAAGTTCAAACATTTGAATTATTACCAGCGAACTGAAAGACACAGTTTGAAAAGTGAGAATTGGAAATGAAGCCCGATGACAT